GAAAATCGGCCTTTGTATGTGAGGTTTGCGGTGCAGTTTTTGAGATTCTAGTATAGGGTTGAGGGTTGAGGATGTAGTTCAGGCTTCTTGTGCATGTGGTGTACAGTGTACAGATGTTAGCATTGTGAGGAGCTTGGGCTTCAGTCGTTTGGGAAGAAGGCATGGTTAAAAAGGGACCCTAACATAGAGCCCTTTTCCAGCGGATCCTGATTGTAAGGATCCCAAAATACGGTACCCCTAATTCCCGAATTCTCGGAAACTCCCAATGGTGCAGGGCGTGTTTGTGGGTTTGCGGCTTGGCTGTTGGGATCCAGTGTGACTGTAATACAGGGTTCTAAATAATTGCCATTAGCATTTTGGGGGTTCCTTATAATGAACAGTATAATGGGCCTCAAAACCCTATTCTAGTTATGAAGGCCCTTTTATTAGGTTGGTTGTCGGAGCTTCGCCGGGCTGCTGGATTGTAGTAGTCGGAGATTCGAGATCCAACTCTTATTGTCACCGGTATCCCCTCAGAACGGGCAATGTTATAGAGCTGCAGTACAACATGTGAAAAGTACCACGAACCCCACCCACCCCTGAACTCCAAAGCCCGCAATGGAGAAGTGGTGTTTAGGGTTTAGAGTTTGCGTTAAGGCCCATGTGAACCTTCCATCATATCAGACTTCTATCTTCCTAAACGCGAGAGACTGTCCGTACAAAGATGGAAGCATTCTTGGCATAGTGACATAAGCGCTCAAGCCTCAACCCCATAAACCCTATTTAAACCCCAAACCGGAAATTCTGAACCCCAAGCCCTGACAGCTGCAGGCATCTTCGGGAAGTGCTCACTGCAGCTTTGAGTACCCAGAACAGCAGCAGTCTCTTGGTCGTGCACGAGGCGCAGTTCAGGGTGAGCTTCGTTTCTTGAGGATGTGAGAAACGGTTCTGAGTTTCAGAGTTTAGACTTCTAGGGTTCAAGGTTTCAGGTTTCAGAGGTTTCAGGTTTGTTTTTTATCAACGGGGGTTCAGGAAAGTGTTTCGGGAGATTCACGGGAGTTTCGGCAGTCAGAAAAAGTGTTCGTCAGGGCAGTAAAGAAGAAAGCGCAGTTCGGCGAATGCACTGCACCTCATGCTTGAAAGATGATTCGATCATCCGGGTTCGGGGTCTCAAATCCGCGTATGGAAATTCAACACTTCTCATCTTTGTGTGAACTCTACCGTTGGAGGGCTTGCGGCATCGTGTTCACGGCGACTTCTGGGCTCTCATAGGTGGTTTGATTTTGATATGTTGACCTACAGGAACAGTCTAGGGTCTGAGGCCTCCGACCGGGAATTGGAATGGCGAGGTGGGGGTTAGCGTTGTGATTCAGTGAATGATCGAACTGACACAAAACAGTCGCAGCTAATCTCTCTAACAACGGAAAGATGGGTAGGCGAAACCTTCACGCTTGTCACAATCCCAGGGGTCTTTACCCGACATATGGGAGTTTCCGAAAATTAGGGGTGCCCTATTTGTGGGTCCTGATCTACAGTAGGGTCCCCTGCTTTCGGAAACTCCCATGTAATTAAGCACCAAGCCGAAAATTTCCCGACTGACCACTGGGCCCCGGATCGATCTTCAATTGTTTCTGAACAGGGTGCGCAGCTGTCCTCCGATGCACTCGGATTCTTTTCTCAGCTCGGACCGCTCATGGACCAGGACCCCGCGGCTAGACGTCTGGTTAGCTGTTTCAGCCAGCAGAACTCCCGCCCACACCACTGACAAAAAAACACCCTACATTGTCAATCATATTGAATCCCATGGTTTGGGCTAGCAAAACAGTGTTTGCAGGGGGTTTGTCAGTCAGCGACAGTACTGCCTAAGATTATGGTGCAGTGCCGCTTCATGTCATGTTGGTGTAGTTTCGACAAAACAGATGTTGCTTCCGTCGAATCCAGTTGTATGTTGTTCGGTTCAATGCCAAACGCCACGAAATTAACTCAGTAACATGAGTCATGAGTACTTCGCAAACACATCTGCAAAAAGTGCTCAAGCCCAAACCCGAAAACCTGTTCTCCTAAACCCTAAGCCCTGAAGGACCCCTCCATTTGGTGCATTGGCGCTTGGAATGACGCAGGCCGCAGAACTAACGCGCTCATAGGGTTGAATCGTCAGGATAAAGAGTTTAGGCATGTTTAGGCGTTGTAGAGCTTCAGGGCTTGGGTTTTAGGGTTCAGGATTTTGGGGTCCAGGATTGTGTACACGAAATGCAGAAGTACATGCAGTACTCGTATCACTCTCCGTATGCCCTTTGTGTGAAGTAAAGGAAGTATGGGAAATCCTAGCCTCAGGGTTCAGAGTTCGGAGCATTCCGTTTGTAGCCTGGCACATGCTTGTGGTCCGCAGTAGTCAGGCGAGGAAGGTGGCATCAAGAATGCCTGTAAGCATTAGGGTCAATGGCGAACTATGCTAGGCTTCTGTGGGGTCAAAATGTGTTGCGTTCGCAACAAGCTTCCATGCAGCAGGCTCCGTATGGAAATGCGAGCTTTCTCGCTGCATCGATTCTATTCGTCTAGTCCAGCTTGTGCAGAAGTTGGACATGTCTTGCTTACTTAACTTCGTCATCTTCGTAGAGCATCACAGCTATGAGAAGCTCACGGACATCAGCTTAACCCGACATGTAATGACTGAACTTCTTAGGAGTCGGTGCTACGAATTCCATGAACGTGCAGGACAAGAAACGTGAAAAAGGGTTCGACGAGCTTAAACTTGGGCGTGGGGTCGAGTAATTTGCAACCGGTCTGTGCGTGCGGAGCCAAAGCATACAGTAGTCCCCAGACAATCAGCAACCCGGAATCCAACGCAGCAAAGTCGAAGATCCTCTTATCTGAGCCACCCTTGGACAAGGCTCAACGAATAGGAATACAACACCCCGCCGCTAAACCCTGAACCCCAACCCTAAACCCCAAACCCTAAACCCTAAACCCTGAAACCTAAACCCTACACCCTAAACCCTAAACCCCAACCCTAAATCCTGAAGCTCTCATCCCCTGCCTGGTGACCTGTCCCCGTCTGTTGCCGGGGAGGTTTGGCTCCGTATGTTGCGGACCTGTCGGTCCTTCTGAGAACTGCCACTCGCCGAGTGGACTGCAGTTCTCAACCACAAGAGCAATAGTGATCGGGTGTTATAATTTAGGGGCCTCAATATTTTTAGAATAGGATTTTGGGGCCTGCCATACTAGAATTATAATGAGGAGCCACCGCCCCAAAACCCTACATGAATAATGTCTTTGCTTGGGTTGGGATAAATTTGCGTTTCATGGAGGCTGGTGGAGGCGTAGTTCGTGCAGTTTTGTGGTTTCCAAGGGTCCATGTGCTCACGTAGTATATACGTTGGCCTTAATGTAGTCCCTATGTAGGTACTTTGGGGTTCAGTTATATGCTACATGAGGACATGGACCCGCAGGGTTTGTAAGGCTGCGAGCATTTACCTTACGGAGAAGTCTATCGTGGTGCAGTTAGTCTTTGGCGCATCGCAAGACTTTTGAGAACACGCTGGCAATATCTGGCAATTATGTTTTCGATGCCATGCAGTTTACGAGTTCCTAGCTTGCATCACTACGGGACGAATATGTATATATATATATATATTTATTTATGTTTATGTTTATGTTTATTGCCCCGCGATTTGTGAAGACCCATAAACGTATCAGGCACTCTACTTAGAGGATCACGGGCCTTGGCAAGGAGGGTAACCATAGTTCTAATCCTGACTACTCCATCAGGAAACCTTAAAGTCTTGCTTCCCCAATTGCCGATGGTCCAAAAGTTTTACCATTATGAAGGTCCGCACATTGTAGTACCCTTACAGATGCCTTACGGTAGCCCTTATAGACCCCTTTTCAGGAAGCCTCAAAGGAACCCTGTGTCAAGAAATGCGCAGCCAAGGACTGGCATCCGGCCAAACTCGCCTGGATGATGCGTACACAGGTGCTGCTTCAGGAGCGAAGGTCGCAAGAAAACGAGCGGGGGAACGCAGGGGCTAAGGGACTTTGCAGGCCCATTCCTAGAGTCTCCTTAGGACTTTTTGTATTTTTGTTCATATATAAAGCCCAAGAGAATATTAAGCATATTACCTTTATTGTGGTTCTACTGGGGTATAGATTCAAAGTGCTCTTTGGTAATCGCATGCCACGGCTGAAGACCGTCGGTGGTAAAGCCAGCTACGCCTTTGTAAAAGGCAACATTAGGGTTTTTAGGGTTTGGGGTTTAGGGTTTAGGTTCCATTCGTAAGCATGAAGATTTTTCGCATGCTGAGCTGTTGATGCGGTGATGTATTATTCTAAACCAATGTGAAGAGAAGATTGGCTTCTGGCCTGCATTGTCATCGATGGTGCGGTTACCAAACCCTAAACCCTAAACCCTAAACCCTAAACCAACAGAAGGTGCTAGAGTTCAGGGTTCCAGGTCATTTGAACCTTCCGAGACGATCCCAAACCATAAAGTAGACAGCCAAACACACTTCCTGTTCAGATCCTGACCCCTAAGTCCCAAAACGGGAACAAGACCTCCTGCATGTGACCTTACCAAAAAATATCCTTTAACTCTAAATCCTAAATCCGAAGCCCTGAAGCATAAAGCCCAAACAACTCCCGACTGCGTCAGGAGATTCTTCCCAGCTGGCCTGACGCGGAGTGGGAGCGCTTCCTGCGCCGCAACGAGGCAGAGTGCCTAAACCCTACACCCCTAAGGCCGATTTCAACTATAGGAGCACAGCTGCCGCAGTAAAAAGGGAATCTTTTGTCGGGTCTTTCAGGGTTTGCAGGGCTGTATACGTTTCTAAAGAGCGACGGGCATGAAGAATGGGGTGGTTTGCGGCCTTCATACCCGGTGCTGTCCTTTTGGTGCATGTGCCATCATGAACTGCTGATCGCAGATCGAAGGCGCTCATGACTTGGGTTCAGGGTTTAGGGTTGTAGTGACCCATCATTAACGCCAGAGGCACTGTAGCATCCTTATTCTCCCACTTCCCAGCGCCATGGCAAGCACCGATCCTTGCGACTTCACGGTGGTCCTGGTTGGCATTCTAGGAGCAGGCAAGAGCTCAACTGGCAATTTACTGCTTGCGAAAGATTTTGAGTCAGGCTCCTTCAGGACAGGACGCGGGCTACAGTCGGTAACAACATCATGCTCGGCCGCTGACTCTTTGGTCCAGGGGGATTTTGGCACGGCTCGGCTACGAGTCATCGACATGCCAGGGCTGGATGATCCAGGGAAGGGTGCTGAAGACATGATGGCAGTGTTCAGGGAGGTGCAAGAACATGCGCCTAGCGGTGTGGACGTCTTCCTTCTGGTCACGCCAGAAACCTCCTTACGGAGCTTTGGGAAGGTGCAAGAGATGCTTCTTTTCTTTTGCGGGCCCGTCCTAGAGCGGAGCATTTTGGTGCTGACAGGTTGCCGTCACGTAGACGAGGAAATGCTACAATCACTAGAACCAGGGCCTTTGCAGTACTGGGCTAGATCTGCAAGACAGAGGATCCTTTGCATCGACCGCAAGAAAGAGCCCTTAGAAGCGAGGGAGAAACTCCTAAAGCTGCTGATGGATCTTCGCACGTCCGGCGCTGCAGATCCCAGAGTTGACATGAGGAGGGAGTTTCTGAAAACAGTGGACCGTAACCTGAACAGTAGCATCCTTTTTATAAGGACCCCCCAAAATACGGTATCCCTAGTTTTCGGAAACTTTAAACCTTAAAGGTAACCCTTTAAAGGAACCCCTATACTACCCCTTATCATAACCCTTCAAAGGAACCCTCAGGTAAACCCCTGATTTTCGGAAACTCCTGGAGGAGATCGCTGGCAGATGCGGAGACATGGCTTCGGCAGAGTAGAGACCGATCCATGCTGCTGCCCGAGCCCTGGAGGGGCTTTGCGCTGGAGTCCATTCAAGATGCGAGCGTGGGCAGGAAGCTCAAGGCAAGGGTGGAGAAGGACATTGCAGACTTCGAGCGGCAGATGAGGGCGCGAGAAGATCTGGAAAGGCAAGTGGAGCAGCAGAAGCGAATGTTGAGGCAGCGGCTGTACGTCCTCCTACAGACTGGCGTACTCACCGCGAGTCTTTGGATCCTTCTTGGCACGAAGCTGGGCACCGAAGCGGTCCATGGTAGCACCTGGTCCCAACTACTGGCTCGGATTACCAGGTACGGGCTCCTAGGAACCTCTGCGATCATTCTTGCCCTGCGATTCATCACTTGGCTTGGCAAGACCTTCAGGCCGCGAAGGGACGAGTGAAGGGAGTTCCGGGTGGGGTGCTCCTACAGCCATGTGAAAAGACCCTCATGCAAGTTGCGACACGGACTTTATGGTGGGCTGCTGCCCCTTAAGCCAACTATTCGGGATATTATGCGTGGGTTCCGTTTCAATCAGGATCCACTGTAAAAGACAATCGCGAGTCATGGCACGGTATAGGATCAAGCGAGGTTTCAGGAATCAGAGTCAGGGTGATAAAGTTCAGAGTTCACTGCCGTCAGAGAAACAGATATGTTCATTGGCCCAGCACCGTACGTATCGTGGGCTCGCGATCTAGAGGGGTTAGGGCTCTCATCTGCAGCATCACCACCATGTTGCTTTACATCATCGCTGTCAACTTGTTTTGAAGGACTGCATGAAACCTCGACTCATGTTGTTTGAAACACCAGTGGTCAGCAAGAGCTGTCCTCACACACCCTACGTTTATAAGTCCCTGACCTTGAGCATCCATCGGGCTTGTAAACTCTAGGATTCCGGATCTTGCTTTGAGAGGGTACTCTACCTGCGGGGGTTGCGTGGAGGGGGCGGCGTCCATTCAGGATGGGATCAACTGTTCAAAGGTCTCTGATGTAGAACTTCGGATCTTGGACATACAGCCTGCAAAAACAGCTACATAGAACCAGTCAGGCAAAACTCTGAAAGCACAAGCTTACAAACCACGTGGCCGAAGAAACAGCTTCTTCCCCTGGGCCCTTTTTTGTCAAACTTCGTCGAAACACGGCGTTGACATGTCTGTTTAAGCTTCGTGCTCGTATCAGGTCTCCTCGCGTGGCGGACGCTAAACCTTACATCCGCAACCCTTTGTTGCCAAGCAGGCTCTGAACCAACATGTTGCCTCCTCAAAGGTAAGCCTTAGCAAGTGTAGACTAGGGTGTAGTTTGTTCGTTCCTTGATCCGTCCTGGGTCTTCTCTAGACCCTCCCTTGGAAAGAAGGTTTTCAGTCAAGCAGCACTCAACCCAAAAGCCGGAACCCCACCAGGACCCCCGAAGTACCCAGTTGGAGAACTTCTACAGTCCACAATGGAGGGTGTGTGAACCATAACAGTGGGGTAGTTGTGGGCTGGCTCAGTACAGAGTTCGGAGTAATTGGTAGCAATATCCGCATATCAAAACAGGGCGACGTCCGCAAATAACCATCCCAAAGCCCTGCATGTGTTGATTCTCGAGCTCTGAGGCCTCTCTCTTGTGCAGGCTTGTGAGTGTTGCAATGCACCCTAAACCTTAAGCCCTACACTGGGAAACCCTAAGCCCTAACCCTCAATGCAGAGGTCCGATTGGACCGCCAATGCATTGTACCCGAGGCACCGTTGACTTAATAGCTTTCTTGCAAAGTTTAGGGTTTGGGGGTTTAGGGTTCAGGGTTTTGGCTTGAGGGCGTGGAGGGTTAGGGCTTAAGGTTGAGGGTTTAGGGTTAACGAAGTGTTTAAGCAAGCATCGTTCTCTGCAAGCAGCGCTTACTAGTGAATTGATCCGAATATCTCCTGCCGAAATTCTATCATGTGCTAAGTTGCGTCGGTGAAGCCTGAAGGCCTCAATCCGTCGAGGGGCGGTTTTGGGGTTCGGGTTTAGGGTTTAGGGCTTTGGGGTCTTGAGGATCTTCGCACAATGGACAGCTTTCATCGTTTTTTAGCCTGGCTCGGGCAGGTATCTCGGTGCTATCCGTATGGTCCGCCGCAGAGTATGGACGATCCATCCTTGCTTGACCCTCAGAAAACATGCGCACATATATATATATATATATATATATATATACGCATTGTAATCTGCAATGTCGGCATTATACTTTTGATCTGTATATGTATATGTATATGTATATATACAAATACATAGGAACTCCCAGGGAGTTGCATTGCATTGTATTTAGATTCAACCTTGATAAGACTTGTATGACCTGCAACCTCTCATGCAGTCTTCCTACTGTACAGTTGTCAGGCAAGTACGTTGATCTGCTTGGCTTCTTCTGTCCAGTTTAGTTGAAGATTGTCGCATACAGGACAGCATAAGATTTTGGGTTTCGGGTCGACTGCCACTGCTGCTACTGCTCCTCTACTGCTCCTCCTCACCCTGCTGCTGCTGTTGCTGTCGCCTGCTGCTACTGTTAACATAATGTTACTGCTGCCATGTTGTTTTCAGTATGGTTTTTGTTGGTGTTGTTGTGATCGTCATGCTCCGCTGGGGCCGGACATGCGCTGGCAGCCAAGGCGCCGCAGCGACCGAACGGCCTTTGACGACTTCATGCGACCGGTTTTGTGGAACAAGGTACTACTCCATGGGTGTAGCGGGTACAGTACAGACCTCTGCCCTTCAGTTCGGCGCAGCACCGGTACAATGACTGTTGAGTCAGCAGTGCAGTACAGTACCATCGGTGAAGACTTGTTGCAACCTTGTAGTTCATCTGTTCTGTTCCGCGATCAGACTAGATGTGTGCGTTTCTCCCGAAGACGTAAACCCTCATGTTGAGTACCTCCACCAGGCGGGAGAGGAGGTCGAGCTCGGCCAGCTCGACCGCATGAAGGATAGGTGCGCCCCGAGCTGATGGAGTTTAGCTTGGGGCTTAAGGGCGTGCTTGTGAGCTTAGCATGCGTAGCGGAGTATGGCGGAGGTGACTCGGGCATGTGGGAGTTGTTGTGGTGATATTGTAAAAGTCCCATTTTCCTGCTAGGCAGAAAGCACTTTAGTGCTGAGTGCCAGGAGTTTGGAGCGCAGTGCAGTGCCAAGGATTGTCGAACAGTCTTAACTTCCAGATTCCGGCTCTTGTCAAGTCGCGCGGCGTTAAATCCCAAACCCGATCTGAGGGATCTGCCCCTAGAGCCCACAGAAGTCTCACAGCCGACTGTGTTCGAGATTCGAGAGGCCCAGTTCTGGTGTCGACGGTTTCGGGCTTAATTATGTATATAAGGGCTCATCAAAAGTTTCCAAATTATTGAAACCATGATTTCTTAGTTCATCTATAACTCCTTTAGGAGCCAAGGCTTCATGACAGTATCTGGGGCTCAAAGGGTTTCAGAGTCGTTCGAACCTTAGGTCCGAGTATGTTGCATCAACCTTTCAGGGTTCGGGACGTCAAAACCTGAACTCTTGAACTCTCCAATGCCTACATGGGAGTTTCCGAGAATTAGGGGTACCCTATTTGGGGGGCCTTATAAGAAGGATCCTTCTATTTAGGGCACTATATGAGGGTCCCTTATGTTCGGAAACTCCCACATAGAGCTTCAACTCTAGACCCCTGCTTGGGGTTTCAGCTTAAGGGTTCTACATGGGATGTTGAACGGATGTTGGTACCGGTACAGTAGAGGATTAGGGCCCCTAAACCCTAAACCCAGTAGACGGGTTGAGGGTTGCCATAGAGCCTGTATCCCTTATATAGCATTTAAAGGAACTCTAATCTAATTATGAAGGCCCCTGCCGCCTATCTCTTATACAGTGTGTGGAGGAACCCCAGTCTAATTATGAAGGCCCCTATAGGGGTTTAAGGTTCCTTCTGAGACCAGGGCTTACGAGAAGCTCTTCCTGGTAGCCTGGCCGAACGACGAGGGCCTAGCCGGGGACCGAGAGGGTTTTACGATAACATAGAGGCCTTAATAAATTTCCTATACTACTTTGAGGGGCTCCTTTTTATAGTCACCAAAACTCTATTCTAATTATGAAGGCCCCTAGATTATCTCCTTGTAGGCACCCTTATTCCGAAAGAAGCTTCTGATGTTTGTGTGGTCTTGGTGCCCCCTTATTCCATGAGCCACAGCGTAGACCCTCAATGCAAAGCCCAACCGAAGCGTCGTGAGACATGCCATAACACTGAAAGCATTCAAGCAACTAAACCTTCAACATCCTAAACCCTGAACCAGACCTGTAGACCCTAAGCGCACCACTCGCAAACATATCACTGGCAGTAGTGGTATTGAGCAATATCAACAATCACAATCATATACATAATAGCCAGAGTGGCAGGAAAAAGCCTGTATCATAGTCAAAAGAGTATGAATTAATATCAAGAAGCACTCGTACATACATGTATACTGTATATATATATATATATATATATATACGTAGCGATGGCTTCTTTGTCCGAAGAGCCGAATGCATCGCGTTGGGCCAAGGCCCATAGTCGTCCGGTGGCATCCTTTCGGGATCTCCTGGACCTCGAGATGGGAACGCACCACATCATTCTGGACTCCTCAGGGGGCGCTTCGAGTTTAGGTGTTTTGTTGTGTTTTTTTGTTTAAGGGGTTTTGGGCTTCAGGGTTTAGGCTTCACAGTCGTGTTTAGAGTTCTGCTTTTTTGGGGAGGGGGAGGTTTGGGTTTGGGGGGTGCTTGAGGCTCTCAGCGTTCAGTTTTCAGGTCATGTTCAGAATTCCGGGCTCGGTTTTGAGGGTTTTTGGATCATTTGGGGTTGAGCCGCAGTCTTAGTGTGTTATCAGCGTCATCCGCCTGAAAGCAAAGAGAATCCCATCAATTATGATATTTTGTTGCAGGCTATCGCAAGGGTTTAAAGGTTGCAAAGTTCGAGTGTTGTGGGGCTTTACGAGGGTTTTGGAGTTTTGGTGAACTTTTTTGAGCTTGAATCAGGGCGCTAGAGTTTTTACCATGTAGTGTTTTGAGGTATCGGGTCTTTCGCTCGGCAATACATGGGTTTGCGGCTTGTATCGCATCCTCATGTTCGTCATCACCATCACATTCAAGTCCATGAGTAGTTACTGCCATCACCTACAGATTCCTCGTCGCTTCGTCATGATTGCAAGGCATGATCGTGGTCATAGCCATCGCCAGCATCGCCGTCGTCGTCATCGTCGCAATGACCTAGTCACATAATCATCACCATCACCATCATCATCACCATCACCACCAGCAGCATCACCACCACCATCACCATCATCGTAATCATCAGCATCATCATTAATTGTCATCATCATCATCATCATCATCATGGCCGTCGGTGCGATATTTCTCCGTCACAGCCACCTTGACTCTGCGGGTTCCGCGTATCTAGTGCTGCCCCTTCCCCTGTGTAAGCCCGGCCCAGGGCCGGCCCCCCGGCCCTTCCACAGGACGAGCAATCCAGCGGCTGGACAAAGGCCTCTTGGTGCAGATCGCACAGTGCTTATGCAGTTCAGTGTAGCACCGTGCCCTGGCGCAAGCATGGCACCATGAGCTGGATCTTCTGAAACTGCTGCATGGGAAACCGGAACCCTCAGAATGATGAAGTTGCTAGAAGCCCAAACCACACTCTGGAGAGCACCCGACTGTACCCCTGAGTTTCCTCCGCAACGCCCAGCAGAAGCTTACCGAGGCCTTTTCCAAACAGAGGTTGAGGATCCTTTCCACATGTACCTATAGTCTCCATTGTAGTTCCTTTTTTGGTTTAACAAATTTGGTTTTAAGGATCCCAAAAGGGAACCCCAAAAAGGAACTACAATGGAGACTATAGGCAGTCTGTGTTTCGACATAAAAGAGGCCCCATAGTGGTAACCGGCAGACGTAGGGGTATGAGAGTGCCTTATAGAATACTGACACCACAACGCAACAACCAGTCCTGGCGCAGAATTTCTAGAACACCATCAAGTGTGAATGCAACTAGACTGCAGGTTGACAAAGAAGAGCTCATTGTACGTAGACCCATACGCTCCAGTGTTTAGGCTTTGAGTTGACAATGCAAGAGCCTCGAGCGTGGTCATTTAGGACGCTGAGCCGGGTTGGTTTGAGATGCTGCTTTTTGTCCCAAGTAGAAATGCGAAGGCCGCACACTTCCTCCGACTGCCCGAGCGCATGGAGAAGGAGTTAACAAACTAAGGGCGTCTGAGGCTTGTCGGAGTCTATATGCGGTGTTGGCTTTAAGTCAACCCTGTCATTGTTTGTTAGTACCCACTGAGCAGCGATATGAATGAGATATTCAAGCATGTGTAGTTCGTTTATACATACATTTTGTAGTACATACCCCTCAAGACTCGAGACATCATGCGCTTACTGCAGCTGATGTTTCCCCCTTCCTACCCAGACATACGCAAAACCGCATCGTTCTGCTGAGCCCCGAGTCCGACAACGTCAAACCCAAAGATCCTGAACCTTAAAACCCTGAGCCTTCAACCTTGAAACACCTCTAATCCCTTAAAGGGAACTCCAGAAAGTTGGAATATCATTATCGTAACCCCTTTAAGGTAAATTATAGGGGATCCTACCATTAATCCATATTCCAACTTTCTGGAGTTCCCCTTAAGATGTTCCAGGACCAGACGATCCCGGGTTCCTACCAAAACGTTTTGAGGCCCGGACTTGCAAATCAGCGCTGAGCTAAGGGATTTAGGGATTTAGTGTTCAGGGTGTAGGTTTCAGGATTCAGGGCTATCGATTTAGGGTTCAGGGTCCAGGAGAACCCTATTCTAATCATTGAGGCGCCTATATTAGGAGCCGAAGGCCTGCTCCAGCTTTACCATTAGCCGAGTTGCCAAAGAGTTGTGGAGAACGGAGCCTGGTGAAGTCATGAGACCGAACGGAACTGGTTGTCGTATGTTTGCGAACGTCGCGTGCCCTGATGTGTAAGTTCCCAGTTGTTCTTGTAAACTTAGGAGTGATGAGCAGCCTGCCAGGTTCTTCGTAACTTATGGTGGTCGTTGTTTGAGAGCCGCCGGTCACGGCTGTCGTTGTAACTGTTGGCGCCGGGATTGCCGCACCATGATTTTCATGATGATCATAATGATGATGGTGATGATCACCATCATCATCCTATTTGTCCCTATCGTTCTCATGTTCATCATATCGTCATCTCATATTTATTGGTGTTCTTCATCACTGTCTCCGTCCTCACCGTCCTCATACTCACATTCATCTCCATAATCCTCATGATATTCTTCTTCATCGATTCTAATGGTGCTGATTCTGGTGATGCTGATGGTGGTGCTAATGATGGGGATTAAGATGATCATGGGATTATGATAATCATCATCATCATGATAATCATCATCAGGATGATCACCATCATCATCACCTTTCTCAACATCGTCAGTAGCTTTAGCTTCACCATCAGGACAATCGCCGTAGTACACAACCAGCTCTCACCGAAAGTATAATCGTCAGCATACAAGTGAAGTTTGATTCCGTCGCTTGCCCTCAGCAAAGCTGCCTGGACTTTCCCTGAAGTCAGAAACGCTTCTTCAATTAAGTAGGTCCGGTTTAGGGTTTGGATTTAGGAAGATAGGGTTTAGGGACTCCCGCCTGGGGTTTAGGGACTCCGGCCTGGGGTGACTTTAAATCTTACGCCGATGATAGCAGAAGGCTGCAGGCACAATCCAAGCTTGTGTGTCCAGCGGCAGCCCAGCGCAAGTTGCTATGTTGAGATTTGCGCCGTGTGTCGCAACACCTACAGTACTCTAATGTTGCGTGCGCCCTGATAGATCTGCCCGGCTACTCAGGCTGCGCTGGGGTGGAGCAGTCCTATATGTTGTCTTCAAGGGCAGCAAGCTTCTGCTGGGAAGCCCCAGATACAGTGCGAGAGACGAGTGTTGAAGAGGTGCGTGACTTCGTGACCCTAAACCGTCACCCAATCCGACGCCCTCATTCAGTCCAGACACCCGGACATGGTAGTTCTTTGGGTTTTGGCTTGAACCGCGAATCCTAAAGCATGATCCCTCAAGCTTGGAAGGAAAAAGCCCAAAACCACTACACCCTCAGCAGTGAACCGCTTCAAACGTGGAGTGTTCGTGGATATTCTTATTTAGTTCATGAAGTTACAGTTACATGTACTTCAAGGGCATACAGGGCCACCCTGAAGCCCAAACCCCGAAGCTCGAAACCAAGCCTGACACCCTTCATCTCCCGTTTGAGAACCCTGCCGCCAAATCGAAAATCCTAAAACCCCGAGCGCGCAAATCCGAAACCCCATATAATCCCCAAGACCTTGAACCCCTCAACCTTGATTAGGCCCTAAACCCGCAGAAGCCCAAGCCATTGACCGTAACCCCCCCGCAGCCTTCAACAAGCCTTGAAGCCTCCACCCTAAACCCCTAAACCCTAAACCCCTAACCCCTAAACCCCTAAACCCTAAACCCCTAAACCCTAAACCCCTAAACCCCTAAACCCTAAACCCCAGGCCCGCTTAACGGAGCAATTCTCAATGCTCAGGTCGGCTGCGGGCATCCGGAGCAACGTGTCCGGCTTCCAGGCCCACTATCTACCTATCTATCTACCTACATAATATATATATATATATATATATATATAGAGAGAGAGAGAGAGAGATAGATAGATCGATAGATAGATAGATAGATAGTGTATATATATATATAGTATATATGTACTCTTGTATATGTACATGTGTATATATGCATATCTATATCTCGGCAGCGCGACGGGGTTTTAAGGCCTCAGGGTTTAGGGATTGGGGCATAGGGTTTCGAAGTTTAGGGTTTGCGTGAAGGGTTTTGCAGGCTTGAGGTTGCTGATGAAAAGCGCAGATGATGCTATGGACACTAGCCAAATTTTGTGGGTGCAGCACTTCGGAGTGAGAGGACATACCGCGTCAACGACCAGTGCTTCTTGCCGGCGTGGCGTCTGTGGTCGCCTGGATCCCATCCGAAATCACTGGCTGCATGGCAACAGCTTGTGTGGCTTGTGTGGGAGATCGATGTTGCTTGCAAACAGGGTTTTGGAGGACAGTATGCTTTCAAGATAGGTGCGGTAGTCGGAACTCCCAGTTATGCTGGAGCCCGTAGCCCTTGTAATTATAGGATCCTTAAGACTAGGCCATATACCCCCCTTGGACCCCCCTCCCTTAAGGATACTACAATGTAAGGTCTCACGACTGGGGGCCAGCTGCGCTGCGACCTGCTCAGAGTTGGAGACGGGTGCGAGGTGGGGCAGCTCCTGGCAGATCTGCTGGGTCTCTTAAAGGGTTTTGGTTTCAGAACCCTAAACCCTAAACCCTTGGGTCCTTGGCTCTTAAAGGGTTTTGGGCTCAGTGCTGGGTTTATATAAGAACCAGCCATCCTCGTAAGGCCCAGAACTTCGTCGCGGTTTGGGATGTCAAGCCTGAATTTTTATACACCTCATGTATGTTTTTTTTGTTTTTCCTCCGAGTGGGTCTTTGAATGGAGGGCTTGTGGTCTCAGAGTTACCATCCTCGAGGGTTTCGGGCTCGTGGTTCTGCATCAGGGATGGCTTCATGGGCAACTATAGACTGTCGTTTTAGTTCGACTTGAGGCTTTCGGGCTTTGGGGCCAAAGGATGAATAATACCTTCAGGATCAAGACTTTTGGGTTTAATTGGTGTTCAAGGTCTGGGTCTTGAGGTTTCGGTTTCTGAAGTCCGGGCTTCGAATGTAGAGCATCCTCCATCGCTCGTTGCCTCAACCCCTGGAATCCAGGGCCTGGATCACTGAAGCTCTAGAACGACAAGTGAGCCATCGGACAAGAAAAGGCTTGACACATCGCCCGAAACACAAAGCCGCGATGAGTCCGGAAAGACAAAACCAGAACTCGCCCTCCGAACTCGCCCTGATCCCTCTCAGTCCCGTTTCCTAAGGATAGAGAATCGGGGCCTTCAGAAAAGGAGCACGAAGAAATCCGCCAGGTGTCACGACCCGGATTTGATTTTCTTGAATGCCGGGGGCCAAGACACCAAGCAGGTGCTCGCAGCAGAGTTTGACTGTGTTGCCCTACTCGTAGAAGTGCATGCACCTTTATGCGAATTACATGTATATACATCTACCTATGTCGCTTTGTACTGGGTTATACCGTTCCCTAAACCCTCCACAAGCTCCAACGACCCAGAGCCGAGAAATGAACCTACACATAGCCGGCAACTGGACTCTGAGGGTCTTGGGTAGTTGTCCTGTCACTGGAGTGTAGCTACTGTCAGTGTTAATACGATCTTGGTGATCGTTTTGTAAGCGCCATCAACTTCGTGATCGAGATGCGACTTGCTCCTGGGCTTCGATTGTAGCAGCTGGTGCCGGTTGTTTAGCATAATTTCCGAAGCTTTTGCAACTGTCTGAACTAATGCAGAAGCAACGGTGGTGCATACATTTACATCTTCACATACATGACACATGCACAGGCACATATGTAAGTACAAATGAACAGTTAAGCACATGACAATGTTCATGCACTTATAGACGCAGATTTAAATTGTATACAAACACACACACACACACACACACACGCACATATATATATATATATATATATATATACACACGTTTACACCTATTCATGTACGTCGTTGCTGCTACATACGCAGCGTCTGTGTTAGAGGTCTATCACTTCGTCCAGTCTTCAGCTGGTGAAAGCTTCCCCCCATTCTCACCGACACGTTGCTCCTTTCGCTCATGTGGGAGTTTCCGAAAATAGGGGACCCTAATAGGGTACCCGGTACCCTATATAGTAGGATCCTTATTATAAGGACCCCCCCAAATAAGGTACCCCTAATTTTCGGAAACTCCCATGTAATTGGGCTTCAGGTTTGGGTGTAGATGGGACATGGGATAACAAGGGGCCAGGTGTTTCCAGTCCACAGGCCTGACAACAAGCGTTGTTTTTGGAGATTGGCATGTGGAGTAGTGCCCTGCTCAGCGCTGCGTGCAGTTGTTGCAATGGTCGTAATGGCCCTACTCACGAAGCTGGCAACAAGGCAACAGTAGCACCAATCTAGCAAGACTGTTGGCTGGTAGCTGATTAGTAGCTGTGTCAAGGCATGTTCTGCTCTTCGCCACTTCATGGGCCACGAAGCCTGCGGTGAATGCATTGCCGGCGATGGCCAGGAGCACCATTGCAATTTCTGGGTAGGATGGCGAGGGTAGGAGAGCATTCGGGGTCAACGACACGGCTGGCATGCACAGGATCATTGCCGAGTCACACTCAAGCAGGAGTATCCTTCTGTGGTCCTGTTTGACACTCAATTGTCGGTCGGAGCCTCGGTGGTTTGTTCAGAGTTTGTTCTTCTGTTTTCGTGTTACGCATATAGATTCACACGGTGTCTTGCAACTCGCGGTGTAAACCTGACCTCGCTGCCCTACCACCAGTTGGGTTTAAGCTGCAATTGGGGGTAATTTCTTCGCTCACCATCCAGGTGCAGATGAATGGATTAAGATCTTAGGTTGAGTTTCGTAGGCTTTGATGAGGCTTTCGTATTTGGCAAGGCTTTATAAGGGCCCGCTTCCTTGCTTCATGGCTTTAAGGCTTCGAGCATACTCTCAGCCTGTTTGTTCAAAGTTCAAGCCATAGGGTTCGGCTCGAGGTTGCAATCTAGAAGCAATCTAGAAGTCAAACACTTGGTAATATTGGTCCCTTGTGGTTCCAGCTACTACTGTATGCATGCACATGCAGGAGGATGTATTCCTTGTAGGCCCCGTTAACCCTAACATCTTAGTGACGGTAGGATATGCCTCCAAACTCTGTTACACTATTGAGGTCTCTAAGAATGCTCGTTACAGTGTCTAGCTCGTGCCTGAATGGCTGGTACTGCAGTACTTGTCCGCTGGCTGTTGCACATACCGGGGATTGCCAGCCCAGCATCTCATAGGATATGCTGAAGACACCTTAACCCGTAACCCTGAACCCTGCACGCCTAAACCCGAGAAGTGGTCTCACTGCATGACAGAAAGCTGGTGCTTGTTTCACACGTGTTTGCACTAAAGGCGGCTGTGTCATTCGCGCGTTTGAGGTCCCTTCTGTTTACATTGCTCTAAGGGCCCATGTACCCAAATAGTATGTACTTTGGGCCCAATGTACCTGTATAGGGAGTACTTTAAGGCCAAAGTATATGGACCCTTGGGGGTGGTGTGGCTTCTGAGCTCCTACCTCCCAGTCTTCTACCAATACACCCCAGAGCTGGTTTCCATGGCATGATTTTCGTTCTTTCCCATGGGAGTAGACTATGATGCGAACCGTTCTGTAACGCTATCTGTCCTGAATCGTCTGTTTTGCTATTCTCTCTCTCTCTCTCTCTCTCTGTCTCTGTCTCTATATACACTTGCTAGCACGGTAAACCCTGTGGCCTGTAACGCTCTGTTACCAGACGCGCTGAACCCAAAGAGATCATTGCCGCAGCAAGATCTGCTTAGGCTTTACTAGTTGACATAGTAGAACCGCTGTACTCTCTTTGCACTCAGAACCTGACAAGTCCTGAAACCCCAAATCCCAAATTATTCCATTCAGTGATTCCGCAACAAATCAGTCATGCTAAACCCTAACCAGCCCCATAAAAGCTTAAATCAGTGATCCAGGGCTCTGCGCCTCACTTCAATGCCAAAGTCCGGAACAAGCTCTTCTTCGCCAACTCGGCTTCGTTTGATCAGGGCTTGGCGTCGAATCTGCAGGGTTTCGGATTCTTTGAAGCATTCCTCTAAGTTTATCTCAAGTGCTTGATCTATCGAAAAATCCTGTTGTAAAGGCCTTCTTTTCGTGCTGAAGGACTTGTGCATACTGCCGAAAGCCTGTGCTGAATTCCTTGAGGGTGCAAGGGCACAGGAAAAGCACCATGGGCAGAGCAGCACACACCAAGCCGTATGTGCCGTATTATCAGAGCAACACTGGCAGGAGGATGACCTTTGGTTCAGGTAAGTCTGGCATACATTTATGTAGTCCACGCCGTAGAGCCCTTTTAGGAAAGAGGGCTCTGTGCCCCCTGGCAAAGCCAAGCCTTCACTCGCAAGCCGACACTCTCTAATATAGACATTATTGAACCCTGATTGGGAACCTGAGTTTTAATTTTCAAGGAGCAACACGAAGACGAAGCCAATCTGCCAGAAGCTGCCAGGAAGAACATAGCCCGCCGGTCGGAACCTGCCTCTGGAATGCGAATCTCGCGTTCCCGTCCGGGTCTCGCTTCATTTGCTTGCAAGTTCGGATGTTCTTCAGAGGTTGGTGCGGTTTGCAAGTCTTTCGAAGATGAAGTTCTACGGCCCTTGAACTCGCAACCTTTAATACCTAATAAATCTAGAATCTCCAATGCCAGGATGCTGGGAGCACCTGCACCCAAGTCTGAAGCCTCGAGACCCAGAGCTGTTTGTGTGATTTTATTTCCACATTGAACTCAACAGATATTAAGACCAAAGCACAGCAGCATGAAGGGCGCATCTAGCGGATTGAGGCTTCCTTGGTTAGGGTTCCAGGGCTAAGGTAAGCTTTCTTTTAAGTATCTCCCAAAGCGTCCTAAGTACTGTTATGGGGCATAGTTCCCCAAATCATAATAGTAATTCCTTTTTTAGGTACCCTACATTCTACCATAAAGGTACTTTGGACCCTTTGGGTCTGCTCCCTTTGCCCACATTTTGTCCAACTTAGTGCTTCGGGCAGGCTTGGTGAGTTGAAATCATTATCTGAGCGCATTTTGGATTGTGCTGCACATGTTGTCGCTTGAGCATACATGTGCATCCGCTGCCGTTTCCTCTCAAGCCAAAATAGCCAACAGAACACTGGATCACCTGAGTCGCAGGAGTTTCCTTTTTCATTCTGTGTTGCAGAATGGAAGTGTTCATGGCTGCGAACGGTATCGAGACTCGCGAGGAGCTCGCGTTCTTCTTCATGAACAGGGCAGAGGCCCTTCAAGCTGCTGGCCCGGAGGTGGCAGCAGCCTGGGAGGTGGCGTCCCAGGAATGCCGGGGAGGTTTGGCAGTTAAGGTTCGCGATCTCTATGCCAAGCAGGCTGCAGATGCCCTCCCTTCTGTCCCAGTTGAGGGATCAAGGGGATCTACGGCTGTTGCGCCGTCGGCTGTGGCGCCTTCATCTGCTTTGCCCCGTGTCAAGCGAGTTGCGCCTGGCCGCCCTAGTGCAGCACCGCTCCTGGAGTCCAACGAGCAGTTCAAGCCGGTGCTCCGTGATATCCTTATCTCCGGGAGCAAGTATGCGAGCCAGCTGCAGGGGCAGAACGTTGAAGGGATCGTGAACCAGGTGCTGCTGCCTGTGTTGCGGGGCACGGAGAGTAGTACACTCCAGAAGGTGTGTCGCACCTGGGCAGAGCTCAAGCAGTTCTGCGAAGCACACGACCTCCCCGTGCACAGCCTCACCGCCATAGCTGCGGCGTCCTTTGTCATGAATTCCGGTGCCCAGTCGAGGGTGTTGCCGGCTCTCTTCTTCATGACCAAGAGGCTTCACCTGGGAGTTGACCTGGGTCTGGCCAGCAGCATGCGCAAAGCCAGCGCAGGTGGCGTTGGACATGGAGCCAAGCAAGCTCCAGCTGCCGAGCCCGTGATGTTGGTTAAGCTGGAGGCTACGTTGCAGCATGCATACGAAAACCACCACGAGGACTTTTTGGCATATTATGCCACATGGTGTCAATCCCTGGGATGCGTGAGACTGATTCACGTGCAAAGGAGCAGATTGCTGTGCATGGACTCCCATACCATGTATTGGGAGTGTCTTCGCGGGAAGCAGCGTCACCTGCGTGCGGGATTTCTCTGGAGCTGCCCCAGGTTCAGCGTGGTCTCTGACCTGGACTTTGGTAGCTACTTCGTGGAGGCACTCTCCAAGCGGTTGGCCCCGGCCGATATCGAATGTGTGGGGTTTAATGTTACCAATGGCTACGAGATCCCGCCAGCCACTATTCGGAGCATGGTTTCGCTGGCGATGGCTCCGCTTCTTGAGGAGGGCGACGCCGCCAAGATCTCCTCGAAAAGCTGGCGGGAGCTTCCTGTCACCCTTGCTTTCCTGGCTGGGTTCGAGACTTCCGCGGTCTGTGCAATGGGCAACTGGCTGGACACTACGTCCAAAGGATGCAATGTCACGCCTTGGCGCTATCACCGAGCCAAGCAGATCCAGGCCCAGCAGATCAAGCATGTTTTGAGGTTTTCGTTAAAGGAGCTGATCCTGGACCAGGCGGTGCACACATGGTCCTCCATCGACACCGAGATCCTCCTCGCCTCGGGCAGCTGCCCTTCCTAAGGAAGGCCAGGATACAGTGTATGCCTGGGTTGGGCCGCAGGAGCAGGGCATCAGGGTGCGTTCTCAGGTTGCAGCCCTTATTCTTCGTCACCAGCGCCGTGTTGCGGCGTCCCGGCCGCTCAAGGAGTTGCCTGTCGCGAGGAAGAAGGCGAGGAAGCCTCGAAAGGGAGTAGGGCTTTCCGGGCAGCCCCGTACGCCACCTCAGCCAGAGTCGCCTGGCTATGGGCCATCGCCTCTTGAGGAGCCAGCTGTGCCAGCTGTGAGTCTCCCCTTGGCCCAGCCGGAGTTGCCGGCCCCCGCTCCCAAGATCATGACGAAGAAGATGCCCAAGGCTAAGCCCTCAGCGAGCAGTGGAGCTCCGGCCAAGCGCCCACGGGATGAGGCAGTTGAGCCGGCCCTGCGTGTATCCGAAGCTGCATCCTCTTCGGATGCCCCTCCCAGGAGGGTGGAGACAGCTGAGGAGCTGTTCGACCGGCTGGGCCGGGAGCGCTGGGCTCGTCCTGGCCACGGGGATCGGCCGGAGCCGCCCACGGTCGTGGCCCGCTTTATCGCGGAACAGGAGTCGCCTGTGTTGATCCTCGGTGGGCTCCCTCATGAACGTGACAGCCAACTGTTCACGCGTTTCAACGTCGGCCTCGTTATCTCTTGTTTTCGAGAGCCGTTGCGAGACAAAGGTGGGTATGTGCCGCCCCGAGTGTTGCTCAGGAACCTGGTTATTACTCACCAGCCGTCTCGCAATGATGATTGGGGGCAAATCAAGCCATGCATCATCAACACCCTGCGTCACGGGGAGTCCATCTACGTTCACTGCATGGCCGGAGTCCACCGAGCGCCCTGTGTTGCAGGGATGATCTGTGGCTTCATGCGTCGGTGCTCTTGGGATGATGCAGTCGGGCACATCCGTACCCTCCGGGCGGTTGAGCCCGAGGGAGTTCTTAAGCGCACTGGCCACGTTGGCAAGTGGCTTCGTGCCGCCACCGACTCCAGGGCTGCCCCGCAAGCCACAGTGAAGCTGCCGTTGCAGTTTGCGTGTGGTAAGCAGCGCGGAGCATCTGTCCACGCGGTGGCTGAGGGTTGCTCGCCAGACCGCCTCCAGCCCGCTTGCTGTTGGAAGCAAGCACGTTCGAATGTGGCCTCCTTTTTCCGCGGTACACCTTGGGTGTGCAGCGATGCGCTTGAGGCCATTGGCTGGGGACGCCCGTGGTGCCGGGTGTGTACAACTATGCTACCTGCCAAAGTGCAGGCCCTCCTGTAACTTAGGCCTCGAGCCCCCTGATTCGATCAGGTATCTTGCGCCAAAAAGGAAGCCCTTTGTGCGTTGCTCAGTGCCTCTTGAGTGCATGTACATGTTGTGTTTTTCAGTTTTGCTTCAGCTCACAGCCCTCCCCTTTGGCACACCATGGCACAGTGTGGAACACAGGGATGCAATCGCTTGGCGTACGGAGGTCACCTTTATTGCTGCGGACGGTGTCGTGACCTCATGGGCCATAGCCGGGGGTGTGATGCCAGGCACCGGGAGCAGACCAACCATGGATATGGTAGGCGTGCGAGGCCGCGCTCAGCTCCGCAGCCCCGTACGCACACGTTTCGAGTCACCGTGCCGCCAGTCATCCCTCAAGCCTTGCAGCAAGCCCTGGATGACCCGCTCGAGTCCCCATACACGAAAATCCTGCTGCTCTCCTTCTACATGATGGCCCTTCACACTACCCCTGAGAGTCGCCGCAGGTTCTTCCAGCAGTTGCTGCTGGTGTTTCATCCCGACCGGGCGCCCGGAGTTGTGGAGGCCCACGCTGTTGCTCGGGTGTTGACCCAGCTGTTGCGCGAGTGGTAGATTTCAGTGTGAAGGCAGTATAAACCTCCTGTCGGAGCACCAGGGAAAAGTCACTCCGAGCTGTATGTTGCAGAGTGGAGAGTGCGAGGGAGGTTTTACTCGCAATTGCCGTAGCCGTTTCTGAGTAGCAGGTGCCGTAGTCCCCCTATAGACGCTAACCTTTTGCGCCATGGCTACTAAGGAGCAGATTTTCGAGGAGCTGGCCCAGAAGTTCAAGCTGGAGGACCAGATCAAAGATCAGATCCTGAAGGTGGGAGTCACAACGTTGTCGGAGTTTCGCTACTTTGTGAACACTGACGACGAGCTCCTGGCAGCGTTCTTCACGCCGGTCGAGGGTGCCCTCACAAATAAACCTCTGCAGCGTGCGCGGCCAAGCTTGGAATGCAGTTTGCCAAGCTGAGCAGCAGAGGGAGGATAAGGGCACACACGTGAGCGTGAGTTTGGAGGAGGAGGACGTGTTGCCGTCCCCTCAGCTCTCCAACATCCGCGAGGCGTTCTGGAAGAGGTACCATGTTGTCATGCCCCCTGAAGCTACCCCTTCCGACAAATGGGTGACGAAGGCCTACCGCGCTGTCACCAAGAGGACGCTGGATGTCGTGAACGTTTGGGATGTGAGGTCCGTGATGAATCAGCGAA